GAACGTCTTTTTCAACCATCCTAATGAAAAAGAAGAAAGCTTTTTACAGATTTTTTACAAAAACCGGAATTGTTGAAGACACCTGATTACAATACAACAATAAACACAATTGTTTGAATGTACATACAATAAAACCCAATTGTTTGAATATACATACAGTTTGTAGTACTATTCTTTACTTCATGTTTCCATTAAAGGTACAAGTTATCTACAAACAAAAATCACATAACCTTATTATAGCTTACATGTTTGTTTAAAGCATAACCTCAATCCCTTCATATAAAATTACTTATTTAAATTTCTCTTACCTAAACTGGCTGAGAGCAGCTCCCAAATCTTTACAGCATTTTATTCGGATAGCAAATCTTAAACATACAGGTTCAAACTAGTTCCTTATATCCTATTAACCAGGTCACATGATATTGGATACTGGAGGAGCCACCTTACCAACAAACTTAAAGTACTAGAACATTATTCCTCTATTCATCTAAGTGCAATCATGCCAAAGCAGTGTGCCTATTTGCTGTTAAAGAATCATCAGGACAAACTCCCAGGTTTGTGTTTTGGGGGGGGGGGGCGTTGAGAGGGGGGGGAGAGAGAGAGAGAGAGAGAGAGAGAGAGAGAGAGAGAGAGAGAGAGAGAATTCTTGGAAGGAAGAGAGCTCCTCCATAGAATCCCATAGCAGCATCGCTGATACTGAGGTCCCCGTACACGGGCTTGTATGCGATGGTATCGGGGAATCCAGAAGAGACCCAGCCGCCTTCTCCTCCCGCCTTCCGGTTCCTCCGTCCTCCCGAACTACGAGACGCGAACAACTGCTCGTCCAACGCAAACGACGGCTCAGAAGAAACGGACGACCGCCTTGGCATGGAAAAAACAACTGTGCATTTCCTTTCTTGTTGGCTGCTTTCTTGCGGCGGAACAGAGCAGATGGCTTTCTGGTAATGATGGAGTAAAAATTAATTACTGGGTAGGGTTCTTTCTTTCTTTTTTTTTTGTTAAACAGTAAGCAATGATTGTAACTCTGGATAGGAATTTAAATATCCAGTTGCCAGGACTACAGGAGGAAAGGCACACGCCAACAAACAAACATGGAAAAAGCAACCCCAACTGTTAAAAAAGAGAGAGAGAGAGACGGATACTTTCATGTTACTAGGGAGTGCATGTTTTTGGACAATAGGGAACCCGCACTGTCAAGGAAAGGATGTTCCATCGCTGTCTGTCCTGTGATCCCAAAAGAGCTTTCGAATTCAGAGGCAGGACAATCTCTAAAAGTCTCAGAGAGTGAGGACAGAAAACAAGGGAGAGGCCCTGGCTCGGTGGCAGAGCACTGGCTTGGCATGCAGTAGGTCCCAGGTTCGATCCCCGGCATCTCCAGTTACAAGGACCAGACAGTAGGTGATGGGAAAGACTGACCTTGATATAATGGTCTGATTCAGTATAAGGCAGCTTCCTGTCTTTACATTTACTAGGGAGGGGGACCATGGCTCAGTGGTAGAGCCTCTGCCTGGCATGCAGAAGGTCCCAGGTTCAATCCCCGGCACCTCCAGCTAAAAGGATCGAGTCATAGGTGATGGGAAAGACTTACCTTGATAGACCAATGGTCTGACTCAGTATAAGGCAGCTTCCTGTCTTCACATTTACCATGGCTCAGTGGTAGAGTTCCTACCTGGCATGCATTAGGTCCCAGGTTCAATCCCCGGCATCTCCAGTTACAAGGACCAGACAGTAGGTGATGTGAAAGACTGACCTTGATAGACTAATGGTCTGATTCAGTATAAGAATTACTGTACAAGTTCAAACTGTTAAAGACACATTAACATGTCATATAAATTTCTACTTGATTTTACTAGGTGAACTTCATCCGAAGACAGAAGCCCAGTCACAGTGCCAAGGATGTTAAAGATGGAACGTTTCGACTGAACGTCTTTTTCAACCATCCTAATGAAAAAGAAGAAAGCTTTTTACAGATTTTTTACAGATTTTTTACAAAAACCGGAATTGTTGAAGACACCTGATTACAATACAACAATAAACACAATTGTTTGAATGTACATACAATAAAACCCAATTGTTTGAATATACATACAGTTTGTAGTACTATTCTTTACTTCATGTTTCCATTAAAGGTACAAGTTATCTACAAACAAAAATCACATAACCTTATTATAGCTTACATGTTTGTTTAAAGCATAACCTCAATCCCTTCATATAAAATTACTTATTTAAATTTCTCTTACCTAAACTGGCTGAGAGCAGCTCCCAAATCTTTACAGCATTTTATTCGGATAGCAAATCTTAAACATACAGGTTCAAACTAGTTCCTTATATCCTATTAACCAGGTCACATGATATTGGATACTGGAGGAGCCACCTTACCAACAAACTTAAAGTACTAGAACATTATTCCTCTATTCATCTAAGTGCAATCATGCCAAAGCAGTGTACCTATTTGCTGTTAAAGAATCATCAGGACAAACTCCCAGGTCACATGATATTGGATGCTGGAGGAGCCACCTTACCAGCAAACCTAAAGTACTTGAACATTTTTCATCTATTCATCTAAGTACAATCATTCCAAAACAGTCGCATGATATTGGATGCTGGAGGAGCCACCTTACCAACAAACCTGGTGGCTCCTCCAGCATTCAATATCATGCGACTGTTTTGGAATGATTGTACTTAGATGAATAGATGAAAAATGTTCAAGTACTTTAGGTTTGCTGGTAAGGTGGCCCCTCCAGCATCCAATATCATGTGACCTGGGAGTTTGTCCTGATGATTCTTTAACAGCAAATAGGTACACTGCTTTGGCATGATTGCACTTAGATGAATAGAGGAATAATGTTCTAGTACTTTAAGTTTGTTGGTAAGGTGGCTCCTCCAGTATCCAATATCATGTGACCTGGTTAATAGGATATAAGGAACTAGTTTGAACCTGTATGTTTAAGATTTGCTATCCGAATAAAATGCTGTAAAGATTTGGGAGCTGCTCTCAGCCAGTTTAGGTAAGAGAAATTTAAATAAGTAATTTTATATGAAGGGATTGAGGTTATGCTTTAAACAAAACATGTAAGCTATAATAAGGTTATGTGATTTTTGTTTGTAGATAACTTGTACCTTTAATGGAAACATGAAGTAAAGAATAGTACTACAAACTGTATGTATATTCAAACAATTGGGTTTTATTGTATGTACATTCAAACAATTGTGTTTATTGTTGTATTGTAATCAGGTGTCTTCAACAATTCCGGTTTTTGTAAAAAATCTGTAAAAAGCTTTCTTCTTTTTCATTAGGATGGTTGAAAAAGACGTTCAGTCGAAACGTTCCATCTTTAACATCCTTGGCACTGTGACTGGGCTTCTGTCTTCGGATGAAGTTCACCTAGTAAAATCAAGTAGAAATTTATATGACTTGTTAATGTGTCTTTAACAGTTTGAACTTGTACAGTAATTCTTTCCTGTGTCATTGACTCCTCCTCTTGCCTGACAAACCCGTTTGCAACTGGGATTGCCAGCTCTTCTTCCTCCCAAGCCTGTTGGAAGGAGCTCCCTTTTATACCCCCTCCCCTTCCTGCCCCTTAACAAGCATGGCTTCCCATTGGACCTCCCTCCCCTTTCAGCTGGCTGGACGGTTCCCAATTAGTCTTGTGCCATAACCCCTCCCTGGGCCTCCTCCCAGTGGGCTGGGCCGCAGCTGGGGAGGGGGTGGGGCAGAACAGCCGCTCGCTGCCTGTTCGCTTCACTTGGACCTGCTGAGGCATCCACCCACCCTTTCCCCAGCCAGGCTGCCTTGGGAGTAGAGGCAGGCCTCCTCTTCTTGAGACTTGCCTGGTCAATGTGGGGTCTTGTGAGCAAAAATTCTACTTTGTGAGCTACTGGAATTAAAGTTGTGAGCAAGAGATTTGACTGCTGGATAAACTAGTTTGCTCTGGAGCCGTCCTTCCTGAGCCAAGACAAAAATGTGTGAGCCAGAGGCTCAAAAACTGTGAGCTAGCTCACACTAACTCAGCTTAGAGGGAACACTGGTGATAGCTGCAGCCGATGGGGTGGTGGTGCTTTTGCTGGCCTCCTCCTTACCTCAGGTTTCTCCAGCCTTTTCCCATCCTGCTGAGGCTGCACTTCTGAGGCTGTCACTGCTAGACCAGTTCCTTCCGGCTTCTCCGCAGGCTGTTCATGCCTCCTGGCTGTCGTCATCACTGCCTGCCATTCTACTGGGGTTGTGGGCGTGCTCTGCCGTCTCTGGCCAGTTCTTGCTGCCAGTGCAACAGCCACCTCTCTCGTCATGGTTTCTGTTGGCTCTCCCCAGTGGGTAAGTTAGGTTTGCCCCAAAAGAGTCCGGGAGTTGGAGCTTTGGCGGGGTGGTGTTTGGGACTGTGGGTGTGGCCAAGACACGCTTGCCGTTAACTACTAGTTTGCTGGATACCTACTGTAGTGTATAAGAACAAGACTTTAATCACAAGGTAGTTTCACTCCAGGATCTACAGGCATATTGTTTACTATGATGAGCACCTTCACATCCCAAAGTGAGAGATGAGCTTTCAAGTGCCATCGAAACCCTTATGTAGTTCTTTACTTTTCAGCTTGGGAGAAGAAAAGTCTACTTCCCAAAGCTGGGGGAGGATTAATGCCAGGCACAAATAGTGGATGATTCCTGGAATCCAAGATCCAAATGCAAGACGGACAGTAAATACAGTTAGGGGTGAGAAAGCAGCAAGGACCATTTACTCCAATATATAGAGGCTAATCTGTCCTTCATTAGCCATCACTTTGACAAACCTGTAATGTGTGCCAAATTCTGTTTAGTGTAAAGGGCTGAGGATGGACAGTAGGTTAAAAACAATTTTATTAATTTCACTTCTTCGCACTTTCATTTCACTTTCATTTGTTCAAGTCACAGACATATCCCTGAGTCCCTCTAAGCCAAAATTAAACTGCCACAGGATGAACAAGACGAAGGAATGCGACTTATTCTATAGCTGCAAGAATGAGAGCACAACAATGGTACAGATGTTTTAATTAAAGATATCAATCATACAGTTTATCAGGTTGCAAGTAAATGCCGCATTCAGACAGCTGCCTGTGCAGACCTAGACAACATCTTTAGGTCCAAAATGCATTTGGCAATGCTCTCCTTCTCCTGCAACACAGAAGCAAATGAACAGCTGTCACCAGATTATACTAGAGAACTAGCAAAAAATTAAGACAACCTAGTATGAGGTCACACTGCTTTGAAGTTATAGGTCACGCATTAGTGAACAATTATGAAAGAATACCTAATTCCATCAATTACAGTCAAGACAAAGCTTCCTTAGGTTTTGCCCACGTGAGCATCATGGAAAAATTTATCACTCTCAAGGGAGACCTAGGAGCTTAATGCTATATTTAAGGACATACAAAAGTTATATTAGTACTACAAAGCCTTCTTAAAGTATCATGAAGATAACGGAAAACCTATTAGTCCAGCCCTAAAAAACATCCCTGGACAAGGTCTTCCCTTTCAGAATCAAGGGACTAGAAGGAGTGTGATGCTTGCAGCCCAGAAGGGCTCTACAGATGTACAGAGCAGGTAGGCATAAAAGTAACCAGAAGTAACTCCACTGGGGCTTCTTTTGTGCACTCCTTTACTTTCTCCCCAATGAGTAAGTGACAAGCTACTCTGTACCTCAGTTCTGTAACAGATATGTGGTTTCCCCACACATTGTAATTTCTGGAACAGCTAAACTACGTAAAGGTTCTGGCCTGCAACCAGATCAGTATCTTCTGTAAATTTATAGCCATTAACAACAGCCTGTGCCAGCTGCAAAAGGATATGATCTATGGGCCAATCATGAGAACATATCACTGATTGATGGCCACCATTATTTTAATAAAATGACTACCACCAGTATCACCCAATGTGTATAGCACCCTATAATGTTGGTTTGTTTTAGATGATTTTAGGATTGTTTAAATTGTTATTGATGTGTTTTATCTTTTTATGTAAGCTGCCCTGAGCCGGCCTTGGCTGGGACAGCGGGATATAAATCTGATTGATAAATACAAAGAAGTTAGGCATGACTAAACCCACTGAAATGAACAAAGGAGTAACTGTGTTGGATTGTGATCTTCTTTTGTAATGCCTTAAACAAAACCACTGAGTATTACTGTAAACTTGATTTGTTCACATGTGTAGTAATTAGATCACAAATGTCCTTTACAGCTCCTATAAAATCTTCCTCTATTTTGTAATAATTTGGTCAGTTGACAATTTTGTACTTGTCAATCTCTAGCTTCCTGCCTGAAGCTAACAGTATATGCAGAAATGAAAACATCAGCTTCAGACATATCTGAGTCAGTGACACCCATCTTCTTCACAGCAAAACTTTGAAGAATTCTCATGCAACATCCTAAACATTAACCTTAATAATACAGTTACAAGTAGACATACATGATAATAACCATTTCGTAATTACCTGCTGAGCTGTTATACTCTTCCTAACACTTTGCTCCACCCAGCTGATCATGTGATCTTGTTCCTTGCGTCGCATGAAATGCTGCACAGCTACTTGATAGTCTAGCCGCTTCTTCACTTCAGTATATACAGTGAGCAGCCTCTCCCTATAGTTGGTCTCCAGCAGCATAGCTATATTGTTCTAGATGGGCAAAGAAAAATAATCTTCCATTGCAGTTCTTCCAATAATATTTGCTTCACAGCAGCACTATACCATACATACCCAGAGTATTCCTCTCCCTTAAAGTTTACAGAGAGATATTTGTCAACCAACACCATAAATGAAGATGCCATCAAAATTGCTCCCATTGTGATATTAAGCTAATGAGATACAGATCTTTGGTTTGCCATTACCATGAATTTATAATAAGAAAAGGATCCACAAGTGCATTCATTTTCCCATTTCTGGCAGGCATAACCCATTAGGAAATAAAGCTAGAAGTCTCAAAATTGGTCACCAGCTTCAGGAAGATCATGGGAGTTCCACTGCCAAAAATAAAGGGAGTCTGGATATCCTGGCCCTGATTATGCCCAGACATCTGGTGGTGTGCACAACCACAAAATAGATGCCATGGGAGGCAGAGCCAACTACACACCAAGAGGAGTCCAAGCAAAGGGAAGAAGAGGTGTAATTTTAAAAATGTACCGGGAAAGAGCAATGACAGAGAATAAAACCAATACTGTGGTGACAGCTGCTGATGAAGCAACATTATTTGATCAGCATTGCCAATCAGAGCTTTAATGGCCAAACAGAAGCTCTGCTGGATACAAGCCCCACCCGGACCCATTCCCGAAAACACTTGGTTGGGTACAAGGAAAGGTGTTGGTGGGTGCCATGTGTCAAGAACTTTGGTTCATTCAAAATGGAGTTCTGCTTCAATAGTCTGGTTCAGTCTGGCTGTGGCCTGCCCTTGTTAAATTTATTGTCTTTAAATCTCCTAAATTTCACATGGACGTGCTGTAAAGAGGGACCATCCTTGCACCTACAAGATAATGTGTTTTCCTCTCCAGCCTTGGCTTCCCAATTAACATTCCAAAGCAATTAAGTCCTGTGGGAAAGGGGTGGTGGTGTGAAGCTGCAGATCACATCACTTGCTCTTCTGACATGACCAGAGACCAGTGAAATCATCCTTTCATTGATTGGCCTACTTGTGTCTATAGGATATTGCTTGAATCCTGATTGGTGCAAAGGCCTAGCAATAATATAGGATTCCAGTGATAAATTACCTACCTAGAAACTTATTCAGGGGGCTTGATTGCGTTTGCATGTTATGCTGACATGTAACATTGCCTTCCTCACCTCTGGCCATCTCGAAGCACTTGCTGCTGAAGCCAACCAGCCTGGCATTTGGGACTCTGGAGACGGAGTATGCTTTGGACCCAGAACATTGAATGGGTAACATCTTGCCTTTTGAGAACTGAGAGTCTAAAGTATTCAGTTAGCTTCTTAATCTCTAGTTTTATTGTTTTCCCTCACAGTAACCTTTTAAGTAAATTTGCAACTTTTTAATAATACTCTTTGCACTTAATAAAAATATATTTTATTCACCAAACTCTGGTTCTTTGTCTCTGTGGCTGCAATAAGACAAACTAGTGCCTAAGACTGGCAGATTACCTGTATAGTAATCTTATGGGTTTCCTGCTGTGAGTCAACCTCACAGGTTAGAAGTCTGTCTTTTGGCTCCTGACTCGGACTGGAAAGGACTGGTGGTAGCCTACCCAGGTTAAAGGTAGGTGCCTTTAACACCATTTGTAGCCAGCCTCTTGGTGAAAACGATTCCAGCCCAGGTTGGGCAGGGGAAGCCTTTCTGACACCATGGCACACACAAGCACCACTGGGGACCCCACTTCAACACAATAGTTAATTGTTTCTTTACTATTAGTAATCCCAAAAAATGTTTCTAAATATCCATAATATTTATGAACAGTACTTCCAACATTATATCTTCTTGAAAACTGGAAGCCCTTCTAACAACACAGAATAAAGCAAACCAAATCTGGAAATATAGGTATAGAGGAGGGAATGACAGAGAAGAGACAGGCGATTAATTATCCATTTTCTCCACTACATCCTCATACGAAACCATAAAAGATTAAAATCTGAGTATTCTCCTAATAGCTCAGATCATCCAGACTATTTTTTATCATGAATCTCATAATTATATCTGCCATTAATGTCAGAAAATCTTTTACTTCATAATTTCTGCTAACATTTTGACACTGCAAACACAATTTCTTTCTTTTTATATTGAGCAGGGCAGTAAAAAGAGAGGTAGTTTTAAAACACCGAAATACTTTTTCCCAACAAAATTTCAGAATATTTTTCACAAGAGTTACTGTATTGTGCTATCACAGATTCCAATTAACCACAAATTAAAGATTCAGAAGCGCCTGGGATTTAGAGAAAGGGCAAAACACTAGTTCAAAAAAGAACTTATATTCTGTTTTATAAAATAGTTGGATGAGGTCCACAGGGTCCCTCAAAAGAACTTTCCATAATGCCATTCAACATCTGTAAAATTACCAGCAATGCTTATATTTTTGCAATACCATACCCGCTTGGTATCAAAGAGATAATGGCGACCCTCAACCCTCCACTGTTCTTTCTTCTCATCCTCAATTGCTTTCTCCAAGCTGTTTATCATACTATCTTTTACATCTGTTAAAGTAGCCATTTGTTCCTAGAAACAGAGAGAGATTAGACCAGATTAATTTGAAAAAGTTCCAGCTCTGCACTTCCATGCCAAGAAGATGACAAAAAACCTCCAGGATCCCCAGCCAAACTACCCTGGAGAAAAATTGCTTTCTGACCCAAAAGTGGCGATCAGCATTTCCCTGGACGTGTAAGAAAGGGCCACAAGAACGAAACACTGAATCAGCCTTTTCTGCCCTCCCTTCTCGTGATTTGCCATCTAGTCTAAAAACCTTCAAAGAAGGAGAGCCCACCACCACCTGAGGAAGCCTGTTCCACTGTCAGGAAGTTCTTCCTAACGTTTAACCAAAAACTGTTTTGATTTAATTTCAACCCACTGGTTTTGATCCGACCTTCTGGGGCAACAGAAAACAACTTCACACCATCCTCTATATGACAACCCTTCAAGTACTTTAAGATAGGTATCATATCACCTCTCAGCTGCCTCCTCTCCAGGTTAAACATACCCAGTTCCTTCAACCTTTCCTCATAGGACTTGGTCTCCAGACCTCTCACCATTTTTGTTGCCCTCATCTGGACACGTTCCAGCTTGTCTATATTCATTGGTTACTGATCAATTCAAGGTTCTAGCTACAAATCCCTTAATGGCATTAGACCCATGTAGCTAGAGGACCACCCCTCTTGTTATGTTTCCTATGAAAGCTCCGCTCATCAGAACAAAGCATTGTGGAGGAGCCACCACGCAAACAGACAAAATTGGCAACTGCCACACTATGGAACAGTCTGCCTAAGGCTATTAAGAAGGCCCTCCCCATGCTTCTGTCCCACAAAATGTGCAAAACAGGTTTTTTCTAGAGAGCATGCTTGTAGAGGGAATAAAGCTACGCTATAACGAATCAGCTCAGGAGATGACTTCTATTAGGGATAATGTAGGTTTTTTTCTTACAGTTCTTCAATCCTAGCTTCACTGAATTATGTTGCTTTAACTAGGAATCTTTGCTTTTAGATTCAAGTATTATTGTATTTTGTAATCAGCTTACTAGTAGAGCTGTACAGTCAATCATACTTGTAATCCACCTTTAGTCTCAGTAAGAAAGGCGGACTACAAATGAAAAATAAATAGAAGTAGTAATCGTTACACTGCGTTATGCAACACAAACGCTGTACTTGAACATTTATAGTACAGCATGAAAAACAAATTAAACCTGAAAGTGTTAAAACATTCAAAATCCTGAAAGCTCAGTAGTTTTGAGGGGTTTAAAATTCTTATTACTGTAATGTACAATTAACACTCACTTTTCTCTGAATATTCTGAGAATGCATGCTAATGAATTAAAAACAAACAGTAACTAACATTTAAACTAAAGGGTAAGTGTTGAATTGCACTGAAGAAAATATTATTGTACTAAAATAAGCTTAATCATTCATTATGTGTGCAGGGGGGAGATGGTAAGATTAGAAATGTGCATGTATAGTTCACACTATTTACAAATACAAAAAAAGGACACATTTTGACTGATAACAAAGCTTTGGTGTTTTATGCATCATGCAGGCTACAATATACTTGCAAATATACCACTAGCAACTAGTGTTCCCTCTAAGCTGCGTTAGTGTGAGCTAGCTCCAGAGCAAACTAATTTATGCAGTAGCCAAATAACTCACTCACAACTTTAATGCCAGTAGCTCACAAAGTAGAATTTTTGCTCACAAGACCCCACAGCTTAGAGGGAGCATTGCCAGCAACATATTACAGCATACAAATTTAGTACTGACAAACTTTACTAGTGGTAGCAATACAAAATGCTTCTTCTCTCACCTCAATGAGCTTGTCAGCAAAAGCTGCAACATTACCACCATACTTCTTAATTCCATAGATGAGGATTCCCACAATAGATAAACCAGCAAGTGTTTCATGGTTAATTACGTAAATTTCCTTGGAAAGAAAATAGAGCAGAAGCCCAGTTCCCAACATATAGGGGCCTACAAGCAAGCAAATGAGAAATAACAAAAACAAACCTTACATAAACAAGCAAGATATTCTACATAACAGAAACTGAGCTTTTTCAAAAGAAAGCTATTGTACAGGAACTTTAGAGAATTCCTAAAATCTGCATTCATACAGATCTGTCAGAGACAGAAAGCTCATAGTCAATGCTAAGAAAAGTTTCACCCTTCCAATTCTACCAACTTATATAGACTTATAAAGGTGTACCTCTACTTAAGATTACACTATGTGCTTTCTACCCTGGCAGTTTTTTTGAAAAAGGTGTTTGTCATTAACCCGGAATGACTTTGCAGAGGTCCTTCTCTGTTGACTTCACCAGTTGTTAACATTGAATACCATATTTTCAGAAGATCATGCTAAACCACCACACTAATAAGACTTTGGGATGGATCCAAATGACAGCACAGCACTTTTGCGAACTAAGGAGGAAAGTGTAATTTTTGCTAATCCCACTCCCTCCCCCCAATCCACTGTTCCTCTGATCCTCAAGACATACTTTTAGGGGGTTCAGTGGGCTGCAGCAAGGGGAGAAGGGCATTCCCATTCTACCAGCTCAGCTTCACTGGTGGTGCTTAGATCCAACCCTGTGAATACCAGGAACTGCTCTTCCCCATAACAGTATTCAAGTAAGCATGTTTGCTGGCAGGCATACTAACCTGTGACTCCTGTTTTAGGGTACAGAAACTGGAAAAACTCTTCAGGGATTACCCCATGACGGACTTTACCGCCTGTCTCAGGTAGAGGTGGCAAAGGAGCCAAGTGCTGCTGACTAGTGTGAAGTGGTCTTGAGACATGCACCGCTCTGCAGTAACAAGGGCAGAGTGATGCAATAGTAATTCCTTTTACAAAACGTTTTCCAACACAAATCAACAGGATCAAGAGAAATCCCACAAGAATATTATATAATTAAACATAAAGTGAAGGCAGGAAGTCATAAGAAAGATATGAGAGCAAGACAGGATGAGCTATTCTGTGCTGACAGAGAAAATGATTCACATCTCTTTTGGCAGGTTATCCATGAGAGATATGCAACATCTTTATTTATTTCTTAAATTTATATCCCACCCTCCCAGCCATGGCTGGCTCAGAGCGGCTTACAACAGAATAAAAACAGCAAAAAATAGTATAATGATCATAAAACCATATAACAATTACAACATTAAAAGGTGCCAACAGATAATAATCCAAATACCATTAAACAGATAACAGTTTAGCATTACATTTGGGATGATGCTCAAACTTCAGTGCCTTCCTGGTGGTCGATCCCAATCTAATATTGTGTGGCTGGCTCAGGCTGCTTTGAAGGTTACAGGGGGCAGGGTGGTTCCCCTGGGGCCGCTCCTAGTTGAATGCCTGGCAGAACAGCTCTGTCTTGCAGGGCCTGAGGAGCTGCATAAGGTCCCGCAGGGCCCTGATCTCATCCTGGAGCTCATTCCACCAGAGAGGAACCGCCACTGAGAAAGCCCTAGCCCTGGTTGTAGCTAGCCTGGCATCCTTTGGTCCGGGAAGGGTGAGTCGATGTTGAGACCCTGATTGCAGTGCTCTCTGGGGAACATGTGGGCAAAAGGCAGTCCTTCAGGTATGTAGGTCCCTGACCATAGAGGGCTTTAAAGGTAAGAAACAGCACCTTAAAGCGAACTCGGTATGCTATCGGTAGCCAGCCTTCAGCACAGGCTGAATGTGCTCCCGTATTGGGAGGCCCATCAACAGCCTGGCTGCAGCATTTTGCACTAGCTATAGCTTCTGAATTAGCAATAAGGGCAGCCCCATATAGAGAGCATTTCAGTAGTCCAACCTCGAGGTGACCATTGCATGGATCACCATCACCAAGTCAAGTTCAAGGAAGGGAACCAACTGCCTAATCAGCTGAAGATGGTAAAAGGCAGACTTGGCAGTGGCTGCTACCTGGGCACTCCCAAACTCCTAACCTCCGGCGCTGGCACCTATGGACCCCCATCGAAGGTCGGGAGTGGGATCCCTACCCCCAAACCACCCCGACTCAAGCACAGGACCTCCATCTTCGCCGGATTCAGTTTCAGTCAGCTCACCCTAAGCCAACCAGCCCCGTCTTGTAACGCTAGTCAAGATCTCCCGGTTTGGAGTCGGACCGGCCACCCAACAACAGATAGAGCTGGGTTTTATCGGCATACTGGTGACATCCCAACCCATGTCTCTGTGCAATCTGGGCAAGGGGGTGCATGTAGATGTTAAATAACATTGGGGACAGCACCGCCCCCTGAAACACTCCACAATCAAGTGGGTGACTTCGGGAAAGCTGTTCCCCCAGCGCCACCCTTTGTCCCCGGCCTTGGAGAAAGGAGATGAGCCATTGCATTGCAGGGCAGGCCCCTGAATTCCAATGTCGGTGAGGCAGTGGGCCAGTAGCTGAAGGCAGGATTTGGGATTAAACCACTGCTTCCAAGTAAATTTAATAGAAGATGAAGACCAGAGAAGACTGGGGGTGTTGGGGGATCACAGTGGGAAAATGTAGGGTGGTAGTCGATTTCCTTGGTGATCTCCCATCCAAATACTGACCAGGGCTGATCATGTTTAACTTCCGAGATCTGATTAAGATTGGGCTAGCCTAGGCTATCTAGGTCAGGGACAGCTCAAGCAGGATATGGTTATAGTGAGGAGGAGATTACAAAGGTTACTGATGAAGCTACCACCTTCAGCAGGTTGGCGCAGTTTCAGGCTGTGAATGGGATGTCAGAAGTATGCTGATGACAGCCAACTATTTCTGTTAATCTGTGGCCAACTGGATGCCACTCCTGTGAATTTAGCTGAGGGTTTGGAGGCCATGTTGGGGTGGTTAAAGCAGAGCCAGTTGAAACTGAATCCTGGTAAGACGGAGGCTTTGTAGTGGGGGGGGGCACAGTTGGGTAGCCAGCTCCCAGCCCTTGACAGAGTGCCCTTAACACCGGCACCAACCATCAGGTGCCTGTGCGTGACTCTGGATGCCTCCACAGGTCACGAAGGTTTCTCCAACTATGCCAGGTCAGGCAACTAGCTCCCTACTTGTCCCGCCCTGACTGAACCATGTTAATCCATACAACAGTCACCTCCAAGACAGACTACTTTAACTCACTCAACATGGGCCTACCAGCTGATCCAGAATAAAGCCGTGTGGGTCCTTACTGGGATCCTCTGGATGGCACATATTCAACCTGTGCTGTGCAAGCTGCACTGGCACCCAGTGGAGCACCGGATTAAGTTCAAGGGGCTGTTTTTGACCTTTCAGGCTCTTAGTGGTCAGGGACCACCTCTCTCAATATGCCCCGAAGAAGAGCGTTATGCTCAAGAAGAACCTCCTGGTCCAAGAGAGATCCAGTTGTCCTCAACCAGGGCCAGGGCTTTTTTGGCCCTGGCCCCTACCTGGTGGAACTAGAGATGTAAAATTTCCGGAAATTTTGAAGCTCAGAAAAAACCCGTTTTTTTCGGGAAAAAACGGAAATTTTTGGAAAAATTGAAAAAAATGCTACATTAGCATTTCTTTTGTCTTTTCTAGATTGAAAGTCATTCTGTTACTTTAGGAACATAAAATATGACTATGGACATTTTTACTTGGCATGAAATGATCATAACTAGAATATTAAAAATATAGTGTATCCAAACAATTATTACAAACAGAATACCCATCCACATGCAGAAACAAAACTGAAATCTTTTAATTTTCTTCTGACAATAGCACCTCCTAAAGGAAGAAATGCATCTTGTTCTTGCATTGGAGAGTTCAGTTTGTAAGCTAGGACTTGCTTGTCCTCAGTGCACAGAAATTAGATCAATCTGATACCATATATATATAGATTAGAAATGATTTGGAAAATATTTGAACACCTTGTCTTAGAATATTTTATTCATCATGTTAAAATAAAACGTTCCATCGTCAATTTATTTTATTTTTTCAATTTTTCGGAAAAAACATCTCTAGGTGGAACTGGGATTGGCTCCTGAGAACATCCGAGCCCTGCAGGATTTGTTGTCTTCCCATGGGTCTTGTCAGGCAGAGATGCTCCACCAGGCCTTCAGTTGAGGACAGTGACGGCACAATTATGTGATCTGGCACTCTCCTCTTACCCTTTATGTATCCCTCCCCTCATCTTTTATAATTTTCTTCTGGGAGATCTGCAATGTGCTAAACCAGGGCTGTTGCTTTTTTTGTTGTTGGCTTTAAGCTACCTTGAACCCTACTTGCAGGGCAGGGCGGCCTGGAAATCTAATAAATAAATAATAGTCAGCATGGACCCCATATCTAATTCTTAGCCAAATCTGAACATCTTTGTGCTTGCTGTTACTGATGGGACCATGACTAAAGTACTGATCTGAGCTCAAAAAGCTGACTGTTCCTCTGGCACTCCCGCGTTAGACTTGAGGATGTGCACAGGAGAACAGGGAAGCAAAGATCATCAGTAGCCCAAAGGCCCCAATAAGCGCTACCGACAGTTTGCACAACCACCAGACATTCAGCAAGATCTTCTATAGAGGTTCGATCATCGGGAAGCAGCGTCCCGTCGAACGGCTAAGCACCTTGCACAGAAGAAAACAAACAAAAACAAAACGGGGGAAACCGGGGCCAGCCACCCGCGGTAAATCCAGATACCCGGAACGAGGCCGCCTACAAGATCCGACACCCACCACCAACAGCCCGAATGCCCCGAGCTCCCTTTTGCGCCCGTACTCACCCGGCGGAGAGGGCGGGCGCCAAGCTCCTCAAGGCGGCAGGGGCTGCAGAACGAAAAACAGCTAGTCACAGGGCAGCCGAAGGACGGCACCCGCCCTCCACCGACCACCCCGCGCGGCCCTCGCTTACCCAAGCCACGCAAAACCAAACGGACCAGCATCGCGTCTCCAGCGGCGCTGCCCTCCCTCACTGTCCCTATGACCCGCCGCCCGCTGTGGCAGTAACAAGATGGCGGCGCCCGCTAGGGAAGTCTCGCGAGAACCTTCCCCTTCTTTTCCGCTACAAGCTTTCCTGTCACGAACCGTCTCGAATTCAATCCCGCGAGTGCTGACAGAGCCACGCGAGAACACAACACTGAAGAGGACTATGGGACTGAGAAAAATGATTACTTCCGCCCAAAGTAATAACTTTACATTATACCAGTTCAACCAGCAGCCGTTTGCATTTAACACAATTGTTAATTCAGTGTGAAGAGCCGGACTGACAAAGGAGAAGTTATTTTTCTCTCACAGCATGAGCCTTCTTCACGGGTTCATATCACGAGAATACCGAACATCTGATCTGACCTTATACTTCCTGCTCTTTGTGACGGGGAGGGGGGAGAATACTGAACTGCTTTTGTTCTCGCGAGAATGGGGTAGCGAGATCGGCTAAGGGGTGGAACGGTGTCTTGGGAGCACGTGGGTGCGCGCTCTGAGTTTTTCTTCTGGCTCCGTTAGAGTTGCGTGCCGCCGCCGCCGCCGCCATGGACACAGTGAAGCCAAATCCCGGGCAGGCGGAGGATGGAGAGGCCGAGTCCAACTGGAGCATCCCACCCAACGCGCCCGCCTGCATGGAGCGGCACCTCGACGGGGCCCACTACCGGGCAGGTACTCGCCTCGAGCGCGTCCCGTTGTTAAACAGCGCGGCCGTCTCTGGTCTCGGTGCCTCCCAGTCAAGGCGCCCACCTTTTCCGTGTGGTGGCCCTTGAGCGGCACTCGCGCCTCCTCTCTTAAACGATGCGCCACCTGCAGTCCCAGGTTCCAAACAAAACGGGTGTTTTTTTTCTTCGCCGGGCATAGCGAGTTGGTGTAGTGGTTAAACGGGAGCAGGATTGATGGTCAGGCTCCTCCCCCACCGCCGGCTATGAATGAATTATTTATCTTTATTTGGTTACCGGTCGTTGCTAAGACTGGGCCGTGAAACTCCGTGGGATGACCTTGGGCCAGTCACTGCCCCTCATCTAGCTTACCTCACAGGGTTGTTGTGAGAATAAAGTTAGAGGCGAGCGTTGGAGGAAAAGCAGGAGAGAAACGGCTGGTACACAGCTCCTCTTTTCAACCCACGGTTTTCTCAGGAGCCCTGTAGCCTTGTATGCATTGCTTGCACACTTAGGGTCTTCACAGACTCTTGCTACTGTTTTCTGCTGCACTCACCTTTTCTCTCTCTCAGAGTCTTGGTGTTTCATTTTAAAATTGAGTGGTCTTGGGTTTCTAGCTGTGTGACAGGGAAAGAAAATAGGTTTGGTGCCAGTTTGATGTAGTGGTTAAGTGCGCAGACTCTAATCTGGGAGAACTGGGTTTGATTCCCCACTCCTACACTTGCACCTGCTGGATGACCTTGGGCAAGCCATAGTTGTCCTTGAAAAAGAGCAGTTTCTGTCAGAGCGCTCTCAGCCCTACCTACCTCACGGGGTGATTTCCCACAAGCGCTGCTCCGCACTCACTCTTCTCTTTGCCCCGATGGTACATGTCAATTTCACACACGCTGCTGCGAGGCTGCATTTTGCCTCGTAGCTTTGCGTGATTTCCCCCACGTCTACTCAATCCTCAAAAAAAGGATTGAGTAGACACGGGGGAAATTGCGCGAAGCTCCGGGACAAAATGCGGCCGCGCAGCAGCTTGTGTGAGACCAATTTCCCACAAGCTGCTGCAGCGCTCTGCCTCTTTCCTTTGCCCCGATCGCGCGTGTCAATTTCACACTAACTGATGTGCGGCTGCATTTTGCCCCTCATCTTCGTCCGATTTCCCCCGCCTTTACTCAGTACTCAAAAAACAGGGCTGATTTCGCATTAGAGCTGCCTCGATGTTGCACTGCCGTTTGCCCCAATACTATTGGTCAGTTTCACACCCGAAGCTGCGGGGCTGCATTTTGACTCGCGGCTTTGCCCGATTTCTCCCACAGTTTCGTGATCTTGGTTTTTGAGGCTCACGAAACTGCGGAGGAAATCCAACAAAGCCGTGGGTCAAATGCAGCCCCTCGGCTTCGGGTGTGAAATTGACCAATAGTATCGGGGCAAATGGTGGCACAACATTGAGGCAGCTCTAGTGCTAAATCTGCCCAGGACTGAGTAGAGGCAGGGGAAATCGGGCAAAGCTGTGGGGCAAAATGCAGCCACAGCACTTAGTGTGAAATTGACCAATAGTATCCAGGCAAAGGGAAGAGCCAGTGCGCTGTAGCAGCTTGTGGGATATCAGCCTGAAATTGACACGTACCATGGGGCAAAAGGGAGGAGTGAGCGGAGCAGCGCTTGTGGGACAAGGTGAGCATTCATATTGTTGTTGACTTAATACTGAAATTATTCCAAGGTATGTAAAGTATAGCCAGTGCTTATTGGGGAATACATTTATGTGACACAATGCAAAGAACTCAGAAGCTCCTTATAAGCTAACTGCTTCTACACTAAAATTCTTCTGGGTTGCTTTATTGCAGAGGCAGCCCCTTATAAGCAAAGAGCCAAAATGTTGAAGTTCAGAGTGAGAGACCAACGAAGAGCCAATATGTGGAAGGTTATTTGCATAACTGCAACCACTAGTTCTTGAGAGTTATTCATTAGAAAGTTGCACATGTGAGGTCTCTCAATAAGTAATAGACTCAGGAGCAGTCTGTACAATTGTTTCAGTGCAGTGGGATAAACCTGCACACTTGGGTTTGGTTGGCATTTGGATTACTGGTAGCTGTTTACCTGTATTATTTCCATTTCTGTAATGTGCATCTAAGAAGTCTTTTAGTCCTGTAAAGATTTCTTCCTGCGCTTCCTTTCACATAGTAGCATCCCACCTACCTCTACATTATATTCTAATTTTAAAGAGTTTATTTTACTTTTTGAAACATATTTAGTTCTAGAGTCACAGGGTGGCAAGCCTCTTGCATTATTTTTGGAGCAGAAACTCTTTTTGAGTCTGTATTTTTCTATTTTTGAGTTGGTGTAGCGCTTCTGTAGTTGCAGGTAAACAAAACATTTTTGTGAACTTCTTTGTGGGCTTATTTGTCAAGGCTGGAGTGCTGCAAATATTAGTATTAAATGTTAACTAATAAGAGTAAAATATCTGCACAAAGTGAAGGCAAAACCCATATGGCATGTGCACTGTTTAGAAGTCTTAGACCTGGGCTACAGCTTAGTACATGACCTGGTAATGACCAAATCATATATTATGCTACTTGGGGTTTGATGATAATATGTTCCCTTAATAGCCTACAAAGGATAAGGCCTATCCTGATTTTCAGAAATAAAGCTCTAGAGTGTGACTTTCCTCACAGCTTCATCTCCTCCTCTTACCCCTGGACCACACTGTCATAACACTTTCCTGCTTTGAGATATTGCCAGATTGTTGTGCTGCCACATTACCATATCTGCCAACATGCACCAGTTTCCTTAATTGGTACAGACCTTACATCATTTCAGTCTTATTGCTAAGAAACCAGTTGTGGCTATAGCAGCATGGAAGGATGAGAAATGGATGGGTAATGTGCATAGGATAGAGCTGTAGGGACCAAAGGCAGGGAAGAGAGATGGAAGACCCTGAGCCCATGCATCAGTTGGAGAGGGAGAGGTGGAGATTCTTCCACGTTCTTAGCTTGGGGAGAGGGTAGTCCAGAGTCCAAAATACGGGCCATGGAGTCTAGAATGTCTGTGAGTTGTCATTCAATTTCACATTTAATGTCAGTCCAATAGTTTCCAGTGGCAAGCTTGTTTACTTCATGTGCATTTTCCATGGTTGGGAGACTGCCAGGTGAGCAAAGGGATTACTGGTGCATATTCTCCTGTAGTGATTTTTTTTGTAACCAAAGTGCAAGCACAATTGTCTCAGGTAAAGTCTGTCAGTAATATATTGTAGTATAACCTGGAGCAATAGTCTGTGGTAGCAATGACTTTGTAGCCCATACTTCCCTGGTCTAAACTGCTTTTAAGCATCTGCGATGGACTGTGCTATAAAAGCTCATATGTGCTATGTAAACATGTGAAGAACTGTGAAGGTTAATGCTTCACAGAGCCAGGGAGCCTTGAGTGACAGGGTGCTCAAAGGGATTTGATTGATTAGTATCAGTTGAGCAGAAAGACTTGGGAACTGATTGCTGAAGAAAACTCGGTTTGGCTCTGACTGGGAACTGGAACAGTTTAGCCCTGACTGAGAACAGTTTAACATTGACAGAGGGCTGAGAAGGTTGGTGAGGAGGAGTGGAAGGATCGGTGAAGACCCCCATTTGGGCCAGAAAAAGGGATAGATCTTCTAGTTGTAAAAGTGATTCCCTGCTTGAAAAGGGAGATAGCTCAAAGAGTGAGGTGCTCCCCAGTGGAGTGATCGCCGGTGTGTTTAGAGAAGGAATTTGGGTCCTTGGTAGTGTATCCCCTGCCTTCTGAAACCTGAAGAGTCAGTTAAACTCAAGAAAGTGTACTGGACTGTTTAGGAAGCACTGAAACGAAAGCCTCTTGCCTCTAAGGTTCTAAGACCTTGTGAAAAGTTTTAAACTCTCACTTGCTGGAAACACATAACAGTGAAATCACTAAGTTACCTCAGAGTTCATTATTGATTTACCTCAGACATTTCACCCCTGATTTCACCTGACCTTTTCCCCTCTACATTGAATAAAATATCTTGTTTATTTTTGAACATTCTAAAGCCTTTCGTGTGCCGTTTTCAGAAGTTTAAGAGGGTAATCTGCCTCTTCCTTCAAATTCCTGGGCTGAGCCAGCATCAAAATACAATAAAGTGACAGGGTGGGACAGCCTGGTATCTTCAGAAAAGAAAAAAATAGGTAAAGGGGCTGCTCAGCTAGAAAGGAAGAAAAAATGGAGGGGAAATCCTGTGTGAGGAAGGGAATAGGACGAGGTCGTCATAGCACCCTTTTGCTTGAAAGGGTTGTGGTCATACAAATCCTTTCAAACTACACAGCCGTTTGTGTTGTAACATCTCCCTCCTTCCCAGTAACTCAGTGTACTGTATAGAAACTCTCAAATCAAGTTTGCGTAATAAACAACCCATCACACAATCCCAGTCTACCATGGGCAGAAAAAAATAAAAGCATGGAAAGAATTGGTCTGCAACCACCGTCAGAATTCAACTTCAGCCAGCTGCTCTCTTGAGTTGGCAGGTTTTTAAAAGGCTGTGAGGGAGGATAAAGCATTCCTTACTCCTTCTGGAAGCCCGTTGTGTGAGGGGGTGGCAGTAGAGAAGGCTCTTGAATGAGTGGTAGTAAGAGGAGTCAACTGCAGTGAGGGCAGTGCCAGGAGCAGTTACTGATCAGAGCTGGCACATGGGCTCATATCGGGAGGAGTGATTCAGTTAGACTTTCTGTGACTAGGCAGAAAGCATCCTTCCCACCCAGCTGGCATATTCAGTACTTCTACAAAGAAACTATTATTCCTATGCTGAAGCAGTCTGATTCTGGTTGAATGGTAAGAGATGTTCCTTCCCCCGTATAATACGCACTGGGGGTGGCTGGTCCCCATCCATCTTGGGTATGGCGATATGCATGCCTTTCTTTTTCTAGTCTCTTTTTTACATCTTGTAAAATTCCCTCTTTTCTCTTCTACACACCCTAAAACTGTCCCCAGTACGGTTTTTTAAAAACCAATAAATTCAGTTGCACTAATGAAAAAGTGTGTACTAACTCATAAGAACATAAGAGACGCCAATGTTGGATCAGGCCAAAGGCCCATCCAGTCCAACACTCTGTGTCACACAGTGGCCAGAAATACCAGTGCCATCAGGAGGTCCAGCAGTGGGGCCAGGACATTAGAAGCCCTCCCACTGTTGACCCCCCCCCCCAAGCACCAAGAAGACAGAGCATCACTTGCCCCAGAGCCCCTATCTATACCTTGTGGCTAATAGCCACTGATGGACCTCTGCTCCATATGCTTATCTAATTCCCTTTTGAAGCCGTCCATGCTTGTAGCACCCACCACTTCCTGTGGCAGTGAATTCCATGTGTTAATCACTCTTTGGGTGAAGAAGTACTTCCTTTTATCCATTCTAACCTGACCGCTCTGCAGTTTCATGGAGTGCCCACGAGTTCTTGTATTGTGAGAAAGGGAGAAAAGTACCTCTTTCTTTACCTGCTCTTTCCCATGCATAATCTTATAAACCTCGATCATGTCACCCCTCAGTCGTCTTTTCTCCAAGCTAAAGAGCCCTAAGCGCTTTAACCTTTCCTCATAGGGAAAGTGTTCCAACCCTTTTATCATTCGAATTGCCCTTTTCTGCACTTTTTCCAAAGCTATAATATCCTTTTTAAGGTGTGGTGCCCAGAACTGCACACAGTATTCCAAATGAGGTCTCACCATTGATTTATATAGGGGCATTATTATATTGGCTGATCTGTTTTCAATACCCTTCCTAATAATCCCCAGCATAGCATTGGCCTTCTTTATTGCAGTCACACACTGTCTCGACATTTTCAGTGAGTTATCCACTACAACTCCAAGATCTCTCTCTTGCTCAGTCTCTGCCAGTTCAGACCCCATCAATGTGTATTTATATTTAGGATTTTTGGCTCCAATGTGCATCACCTTGCACTTGGCCACATTGAACCCCATTTGCCATGTTGACGCCCACTCGCCCATCCTTGACAGATCCCCTTGGAGTGCCTCACAATCCTCACTGGTTTTCACCACCCTGAACAACTTTGTATCATCCGCAAATTTAGCCACTTCACTGCTTACTCCCATCTCCAAATCATTAATGAACAAGTTAAAAAGCAGTGGACCAAGTACTGATCCCTGCGGTACCCCACTGCTTACCACCCTCCACTGAGAAAATTGCCCACCTACACTCACTCTCTGTTTTCTATGAACTAGCCAGTTTTTGATCCATAAAAGGACTTGTCCTTCTATCCCATGATTTTTGAGCTTACTTAGGAGCCTTTGATGAGGAACTTTATCAAAAGCTTTCTGGAAGTCAAGGTAAATAATATCTATTGGATCCCCCTTGTCCACATGTTTGTTCACCCCCTCAAAGAACACTAACAGGTTAGTGAGACAAGATCTTCCCTTACAGAAACCGTGCTGAGTCTGCCTCAATAGGTTTTGTTCATCTATGTGCCTACTAATTCTTTCCTTAATAATGGTTTCCACCAATTTACCCGGTATCGACGTCAGACTGACTGGCCTGTAATTTCCCGGATCTCCTCTGGAACCCTTTTTAAAGATGGGAGTGACATTAGCTACCTTCCAATCCTCAGGAATGGAGGCAGATTTTAAGGAAAGATTACATATCTTTGTCAGGAGATCTACAAGTTCACATTTGAGTTCTTTCAGAACTCTCGGATGTATGCCATCTGGGCCTGGTGATTTTTCAGTTTTTAAGTTGTCTATCAGTTTTAGGACCTCCTCTCTCGTCACCTCAATCTGACTCAGGTCTTTCAACACCCCTCCTGAAATCAGTGGTTCTGGAGTGGGCAAGCACTTCTCATCTTCCACAGTGAAGACGGAGGCAAAAAATGCATTTAGCTTCTCAGCCATTTCCCTATCATCCTTCAATACTCCTTTTACCCCTTGGTCGTCCAAGGGCCCCACTGCCTCCCTGGCTGGTTTCCTGTTTCTAATGTATTTGAAGAAAGTTTTATTGTTGGTTTTTACGTTTTTTGCTATATGCTCCTCATATTCCCTTTTTGCCTGCCTGACCTCAGACTTGCATTTTATTTGCCATAGCCTGTGTTCCGTTTTATCAGCCTCACTGTGACTAGCTTTCCACTGCTTAAAGGAATTCTTTTTACTTTTTACAGCCTCCATTACTCTGTTTGTTAACCATGCAGGCTTTTTCCTATACCTGTTTGTGCCTTTCCTAACCTGCGGAATATATATTTTTTGAGCTTCTAGGATCGTAGTTTTAAATAGATCCCAAGCTTCCCCAATTGTTTTGACCCTTTCTACTTTTCCTTTCAGTTTCCTCCCCACGTGTCCCCTCATATCAGAGAAATTACCCCTTTTAAAGTTAAAAATGGTTGTGTGAGTCTTTTTGGCCAATTCTCTATTTGTACAAATGATGAACTCAACAACATTATGATCACTGTTTCCAAGCGGTGCAATCACTTTTACATCTCTCACCAGGTCTTGAGTGTTACTTAGGACCAAATCAAGGATCGCCTCTCCCCTGGTAGGTTCCGTGACCATCTGCTCCATAGCACAGTCATTTAGAGTGTCTAGAAACTCAATCTCTTTTTCCCGGCTAGAACACATATTGACCCAATCAATGTGTGGGTAGTTAAAATCACCTATTATTACACAGTGTTTTTGTCTAGTTGCTATCTTTAAGGCATTCATCATTTTATAATCCTCCTCTATCTTTTGATCTGGTGGGCGATAACAAACTCCCAGTGTTAAGTTTCCTTTTGGCCCCCCTATTTCAACCCATAGAACTTCCAGAAGCGAATCCAATTCACTTAGCCTCTCAATCTTTCTAGACTTTATACCCTCTCTGACATACAGAGCTACCCCACCTCCAACCCTTCCCCCCCTATCCTTCCGATATAATATATAACCGGGAATCACTGTGTCCCACTGATTTTCCTCATCCCACCAAGTTTCAGAAATACCCACAATGTCTATTTTTCCCTCCCTCACCAAGCACTCCAACTCCCCGATTTTACCTCGGACACTTCTAGCATTTGTATAGAAACAGCTGTAATTTCCCTTACAAGTTAAGCCTGCATCCTTCCTCTTGCTATCTCGAGTCGTTGTCCGGCAGTCCATGTCACCAGCCATGGCCTCTGTGGACAATTTCAATCCACCTCCCTGTAGAAAAGCAACCGGTACCCCCTCACCTCTCTCAGATGAGCCAACCCGAACCAGAGACTTTTCATCTCCTGTCGGCTTTCCCCCAATATTCAGTTTAAAAGCTGCTCTGCCACCTTTTTGATTTTAAGTGCCAGCAGCCTGGTTCCTTCTTGGGACAAGTGGAGACCGTCTCGCCTGTACAGCTCCCTCTTGTTCCAAAAAGTATCCCAGTGCCTAACAAACCTGAACCCTTCCCCCCTACACCATCGTCTCATCCACGCATTGAGACTCCTGATCTCTGCCTGTCTCTCCGGCCCTGCGCGTGGAACAGGTAACACTTCTGAGAAGGCTACCTTGGAGGTCCTGGACCTAAGTTTCCTGCCCAGCATCCTAAATTTCTCCTCCAGGACCTCACGACTGCATTTCCCCACATCGTTGGTGCCGACATGCACCACGACCACTGGCTCCTCCCCAGCACTATCTACCAGCCTATCTACTCATTCTCCTTCATGTAGGATTTTCCACTGCTTTTCAAATGGTGTTTGGCCTTGTCATTGTCTTGATGATTTATTAGTGCATTGGTCTATAGAGGGTATAGATTTCTGGCAGGCAGGATTCTAGAACGATTCCTAGGCAAAGTTTGGGCTTGAATTACTTCTAATTTTACTGCATTTATAGTCTGCCTTTCCCCAAAAGGCTCAAAACAGAGGTTTTTGGTCTAGTGTTGTTCAGTGTAGTGCGGCCCTTGTGTGCAGATTGTGAGCCCTCTGAAATGAGGCTGCATTCCTTAACTTAGCTCAAGTTCGACCTTACACAATCCCTAGTAACGTTTCTCCTTTTGTTTAGTAAATGATAAAAACATATAACAGATGATGTTTCATTGGCACGTCACTCTTATGTAACTCTCTGTTTTCCAGATGGTGCCTTGCTCCTGGGAGCATCCAGCTTGAGTGGACGGTGCTGGGTTGGTTCCATTTGGGTATTCAAGGATCCATCAAAAGCACCTAATGAAGGTTTTTGCTCAGCAGGCGTTCAAACTGAAGCAGGCATAGCAGATCTGAAATGGGTGGATAATAAAGGCATCTTGGTAGCTTCTGATTCAGGTGAGTATTAAGGATCTCTTGTCTTGCAAACTGTCTTATCATTTCTCTACTTTTCCAGCAGTAAATTAATGTTTGTCTTCAGTTTTGCAGAGATTTTAGTTGGTCAACGTGGGACCAAGCTCACACTGTAAACTGCTGCAAAAGCTGTGTTTGGAAACTCTCAATGTACAGGAAGCTTCTGACTTACAAATAGCCTGTGAACATGGAAGGCAGTGGGGGAGTGGAGCGAGTGTTGAGTGAAGGGAGATGCTCAAGCGGAGGGGGGGGGGTTGATATGTGTTTTTAGCCCTTCCCCCTTTTAATGTATTTTCTGTTAGCTGTTCAGGCGTGAGTTAAAGAAATCCCTCCCTCCCTTTCCCAAAGTGTAAATCTGTGCCACACATCTTTATGTAAGTAAAACAAGCCCAGTATTTAAGGACAATTAAAAAAAATCTTATTCTACAGTTATTCTGTTGCTTGTATCATTGAATTACTGCACAGAATTACAACACTATTGTTTTCTGCTGTTTCTCATTGCAAACATTCATGTACCTCTATGGGAAAATGTATTCTGACTTTTAAACTAATTTCTGGAATGCAACATGTTGATAAGTAGGGGTTTTACTGTGTTTGGATCATGGATGTGATCTAGTTTGCAATATTGAGAGAGGGTCTTTAGATGTACCAAGAACAGTAAGTAATGGAGGGTCTTCTCTTTCATGTGCATGTTTGAGTTTTCATAGGAATCAGTCTGCTGAATTTGTTCCCATCTTGTCTAGGTGCTCTGGAACTTTGGGAGCTGGATGAGAACGAGACTCTGATAGTGAACAAATTCTGTAAGTACGAGCATGACGACATTGTGACAACAGTGAGTGTCCTTACCAACAATACACAGGCGGTCAGCGGCAGCAAAGACTTCAGGTGACCCTTTGTGGTGTTGCTTTTTATACTTTATGTAAAAGTGCCTGTTCTTCTTCTTAACATGGTTTGGATTTTATGTGTAGTGTGAAGATCTGGGACATCCCTCAGGAAACGGTGCTCAATTCCTACAGAGGTGAGTGCTAAGCTTGTTTGTTTCCCTCTTTTTTATTTATTGCTTTTTCTGTCCTGTCCTTTCTCCAGAGTAGCTCAAGGTACAGTACACTGAACAACCCACACGGTGGCCCTGTGAGGTAGATTAGGCTGAAAGAGAATGACTGGCTCAAGGTCACCTGGTTTGATTCATGGTTGAGTAGGTATTTGGACCCAGGTCTTCTCCATCTAAGTCTAGGAATGGCACTACATTGGCTCCTAGTTTTGCATTCCTTCTGCTTTTTAAACTTGTCAGTTTATAGTAGGATTAAAGCTAAGTAGCCCTTGTAGAACTTTAATACTGTGCCTTCCCTGTTGGCCTTCTGCTCAAGCTGCAGTCTTTACTTTGATTATTTAAAAATTATTTATTATTATTGTTGTTATTCAATCGGTGCTATTAACCTACTTGGGACCAAAAGGTCCCGAGTAGACAAGAAGACAATATTCCACTGGAATGTGCAGTAGCTGTTGACTTTATGTAATGTATTTGTGTGCACTCTACTAAGACGGGAATGATTTAGAAATAAAACTGAAATAGGCAAAATTACAGTAAAGGGCATAATAACAGCATGAGAGCTATGTATAAAATATTCTGCTTAGTAACAGGTTACAAAACAGCATTATATGAACACGTTTACAGTAGCACCTCCATAATGCATCAGTAGTAAATTTCAAAAGGCTTTGTCCATACACTAATGAACAACCTATTAAAACCAAACAGCGGCAGAAAAAACATAGTTTTTATTACTGTAAATCAGAATAATGGCAGATATACATGAAATCTTAAAACCCTGAAAAGCAGGACTCAGCAAATTCTGCAGAATGCTAAAATTAACCATTTATAAATGCCTGAGCCAATAAATAAAACTTTTGTTTGGTGCCAGAAAACTACTGGGGGAAGGATGGGACAAGGTGTTTCGCAAACCAGGCAACATGGGGGGGAAAGCCTTGTCCCTAATGGCTGGCTAACTTTTAAAACTTGGAGGCACATGGAGTGGGGCCTCAGAGGGTGATTTTGGAGCTCAAGCTGGCTCAAGTGGGAGTAGGCACACACTGCTTTTGGTTTCATGGTACTGAGCAGATTAAGCCTTCAAAGGTAAAAGCATTTTGAATTCAACCCAGAAACTAATGGACAGCCAATGAAACTCTTCAGAACTCTTCAGCCAAATAGTGTAAAGACTCTACTTGTTACTTGGACATTTGTCTCAGTCAGTGGAACTACTACATCACTCAGGCTGTGAATGCTCTTCTTTAAGTGGAAGTGTAATCCGATTGAGAGTGGGGCAAATCCTGATTTCCTGAGCAGCATTGCTGGCATGGTCTTCCTTCTCCCTGTGCTCAGTGTGGAGGGGCTGGCAAATCATGTGTTGACAGAAGCCCTATGGCTCTTCTGCCTCTTGGTCATGTTGAACAGTCTGATGGTACACCATGTATTAAAAGTATTCAAGAGATGCAAGTTCCACACTGCCTCTTCTTTGCACAATTCTGAACTCCATGTGCAGGACTCATTACAGCATTAAATAAAATTTTAACTCTCCTGAAAGCTAGATAGATGGAAGGAGAGCAGTAAGAGGGAGGGAAAAAGTGTGGGTTTGTTTTTCTGGTTAGAGAAGGCCTGGTTGTGACCAGGAACATTTGTTTTTCAGTAGTTGACCAGTTGAGCAAACCACATTATAAAAGTTTTTTTCCCTTTATGTGAGATGAGTTGCTACTTTCAGCTGCTGATCTCTGAAATCAGTTTCCATTATAAAAAATTGATGAAGTGGAGTTCTTTCACTTCTGGGTTCTTCGATTTGTTGTGTTGACTTCAAGTAAAAACCCTCTTTATCTTTCCAGCTTGACTCTCACTTAGTTCAGGATAGGAAGGGACTGATAATGTGACCTTGCCAATGCTTAGGAGTCATCTGGGAGTTGTACTTGCAGAAACACAAGCAAACCTCTACAGTCTCTCCCCACTGCCACCAGTGACTGCCAGGATACATAACACCTAAGCTTTCATAATGGAATTTGCAGCAGCAGCCAAACCCCCCATTTTGTCACTTTGTTCCTAAATGTAAGCTGTGTCCCTGAGGGCTGTGTTACACAAATTGTGGTAACTGCCTTAGGTTTTGAGTCTCTGCCACTGTTGTTTGAGTCTTCTTAGTATTTTGCTTTGGCAGCCATGATGCTAACCAGGATGTTTTCCTCACTTCCCATCCTAGCTGGTGGTCCTTTTCTTCTCAAACTGCCTAGGGGACAAAAGCTCCTTTGTCCCATGCATGTGCGGTCAAGCCTTCTCCTGCATATACAGCACTGGGCCTTGATTGACCAGTTGTGTCTGTATTAACATGAAGGTTTTATTTCCTTTTGTTTAATTTTTCCTAGCTCATTCTGGTCAAGTGACATGTGTTGCATCCTGCCCTGGAAAGGATACAGTGTTCTTGTCCTGCGCTGAGGTAAAGCCAACTTCTTGCTTTTAATTCTTTGTGAGTTTGAAAGCAAGGCTTGATCTCTCTGCTATTGTGAACATAAGCACCAAGGTAATAGTATCAGAGTTTCACAAGGGAGAGGGGGGTATTTGACAAGTTTTGGGAGGGGTGTTGAAATACCTGAGTCAGATTGAGGTGACGAGAGAGGAGGTCTTATGACTGATAGACAACTTAAAAACTGATAAATCACCAGGCCCGGATGGTATACATCCGAGAGCTCTGAAAAAACTCAGATGTGAACTTGTGGATCTCCTGACAAAAATATGTAATCTTTCATTAAAATCTGCCTCCATTCCTGAGGACTGGAAGGTAGCTAATGTCACTCTCATCTTTAAAAAGAGTTCCAGAGGAGATCTGGAAGTTGGTAGAAACTGTTATTAGGGAAAGAATTAGTAGGCGCATTGATGAACTCAACATGAGTTCTGTAAGGGAAGATCTTGTCTCACTAACCTGTTAGTGGTTTTTTTGGGGGGTGAACAAACATGTGGACAAGGGGGACACAATAGATGTTGTTTACCTTGACTTCCAGAAAGCTTTTAATAAAGTTCCTCATCAAAGGCTCCTAAGTAAGCTCAGTAGTCATGGGATAAAAGGACAAGTCCTCTTGTGGATCAAAAACTGGCTAATTAATAGGAAACAGAGAGCGAGTATAAATGGGCAGTTTTCTCAGTGGAGGGTGGTAAGCAGTGGGGTACCACAGGGATCAGTACTCAGTCTGATGCTTCTTAACTTGTTCATTAATGATTTGGAATTGGGAGTAAGCAGTGAAGTGCCTAAATTTGCAGATGACAACAACTTTGTGTCATCTTTGTGTGGTGTGGTGAAAACCAGGGAGGATTGTGAGGCACTCCAAAGGGATCTGTCAAGGATGGGCGAGCCAAAATGGGGTTCAGTGTGGCCAAGTGCAAAGTGATGCACCTTGGAGCCAAAAAGCCTAACTATAAATACACATTGATGGGGTCTGAACTGGCAGAGACTGACCAAGAGAGAGGTCTTGGAGTCATAGTAGATAATGCAATGAAAATGTCGAGACAGTGTGCAACTGCAATAAAAAGGGCCAACGCTATGCTGGGGATTATTAGAAATGGAATTGAAAACAAATCAGCCAGTATCATAAAGCCCCTGTATAAATCAGTGGTGCAACCTCATTTGGAGTACTGTGTACAGTTCTGGTCACCACACCTCAAAAAGGATATTATAGCATTGGGAAAAGTGCAGAAAAGGGCAACTAGAATAATAAAAGGGTTGGAACACTTTCCCTATGAAGAAAGGTTAAAACACTTGGGGCTCTTTAGCTTGGAGAAACGACGGCTATGGAGTGATATGATCGAGGTTTATACGATTATGCATGGGATAGAGCAGGTAGAGAAAGAAGTACTTTTCTCCCTTTCTCACAATACAAGAATTCGTGGGCACTCAATGAAATTGCTGAGCAGTTGGGTTAGAACGGATAAAAGGAAATACTTCTTCACCCAAAGAATGATTAACACATGGAATTCACTGCTACAGGAGGTGGTGGCAGCAACAAGCATTGACGGCTTCAAGAGGGAATTAACATATGGTGCAGAGGTCTATCTGTGGCTATTAGCCACACGGTATAGATAGGAACTCTCAGTCTGGGTCAAGTGATGCACTGTATTCTTATGCTGGGGGGGGGGGCAACAGTGGGAAGGCATCTAGTGGCCCCACTGCTGGACCTCCTGATGGCACCTGGTATTTTTGGCCACTGTGTGACAGAGTTATGGACTAGATGGGCCATTGGCCTGATCCAACATTGGCTTCTCTTATGTTCTTATGTAAGGCTGAAACAGCTACTTCTTAAAAAGTGTTCTTGGCAGTTATGATTTTGCTTTTAAAAATGACTTCCTTTGTTTTGTTTGTTTTTAGGATAGCAGGATTTTACTCTGGGATACCAGGTCTCCAAAACCAGCAACTCGCATTAGTATGTCTTTTGTTGCCAAATCGTCTTTGTGTTTCCTTTGGCTAGGAGTTAGAGGAATCAGCTTGTCAGTTTAGAAGTTTATTGCCCTGCAGAAATTCCACACTGCCTAACCTGAGAGTTGCCTAAAGAGTGATAATTGATCAAAACCATTGCCAACCCCAAGGTTTGTAGATGCTTGGCCTGAATGTCAGCCAGGACTATTGCTCCACCAAAACCATTGTATATATTTATATACGTACAAACCATTTCTGGAAACTGGAGAACAACAAAATCCAATGCAGCCTCAACATTCCTCACCTCTAATTGCTGATTGGATTTGCATGGTACATCCTTTCCTCATGTGTGTAAATTTCTCCTTCTTCCATGGTTTGCTGTCACCAGAGTTTACTATTGTTCAGGCTGTGGTGCCAGTAACAGTTAAGGTGAAGTAGGATTGCCCAAAACCGCAGTTCGCAATTTAAGTCATGGTTTCAGGCCATCTTGCTTACTCTTAATCCTAGTGCCAGTGCAGGTTAAGTGAACATTATAGCAAGTCATGGAAGATACAGTTGTAATTATGTGCAAGAGGGTGTGTGTACAAGAGCTTACCCCATGCTTCAATTAGGACTGTTGTATCTGTATTGGATCCAAAACGCCCCTCAGGGCCTACCACCAGCTAGAATCTTGTTACTTATAACAGTATCTTGCATAGAGCAGCCTCGCTTGATGTCCAATAAATAAACCTAGTTCAGCCACTTAAATTCTGTACTTTAAAAAAAATGCTTTTTAACAAGGAAACACTTTGTTTTTGGTAGCATCATGTGCAAAGCATCTTAGTATTGTCCAAACTCTGCAGCACTAAAGCTTGGGGAAGACATGTGATTTTTGTGGTGGCTAGTACTATTGAGGCAGGTGAGCAGCCCAGTCACACGGACAAGTTAGTTTAGTATAGAAGTGGAGGCAACTGCTGCCCAGCAGAAGGATCTTGGATCCTCCTGAATTTTCAGGGGCCAACGAGTAAGATCTCTTGAAGCTCAATGTAGTAAAATAGGTAAGATGCCATTTTTTTGACCGCAAGCCTTCCCTGAAGTACTGCTACTTAAATGGAACTATATGGCCAGTATTGGGGAAATAATAGTTATAAACCGCAAAGCTGAGGGAAGTCCATAAAAACCAGGCTTCTGTGTCCTCCTTTCTCCCTTTCTTGTTTAAAGCAATCAGCTATGCTAGGAAATAAAATAAGCATAAACTGACTGCATTTCCTTTCTTTTTTTTGTCCTGTGTAGCCTGTGGTGCCTCTAGTAATCTTTCTACCTCACTGGTGTGGCATCCACATCAAAAAGACACTTTTGTTTTGGGTAAGACGTACTTCTTGATTCTTACTACTTAGGCATTATAGTTGAATTTGGTTTCTCTCCAGTTGACCTGATAATAATACTGATCTCTGTCGCCCTTTCCAAGGTGATGAAAATGGAACTGTTGTCCTTGTAGACACAAAGAAACCAGACTCTGCGCTCAGCACAGATGTGCATTCTCGAAGTGTTACGGGATTTGCTTTTTCAGCACATAGGTATGTGTCCCACCAGCAGGCTTCCCGTGCCCCCGTGCTGCCATTGGCCCCCGCCAGCCGGTCTCCCGAGTCCCTCCTGCTGCAGTCAGCCATTGCCAGCAGGGCCCCCCCCCCCCACTCACCCAGAGGCTCCGGGAACCACGGAGCAGGGCGTCCGAAGACGCTGATGACGTGACAGCCGCACCTCGGCACCTCAATGGGCGCTGACCGAACGCCACCAGAACGCGTGACGGGTGGGGGGGGGGGGGGGACACAACCCATGGGCTGGAGGCCCGGCGTGAGGGCTCACTCCCGCGTCAGAACTCGATGGCTGGAGCCAGGCAGGGAACGGCAGCATCACCCCACCCAACAGCCAGAGACACCGGGAAACAGGGCCTGGCCTGAGGCTTGGTGTCTTCCCCTAAGTACGGGGGTGGGGCCAGGCTGGGAGAAGGCGGGGCAAGGCCCTGAGGAGGATCCTGGGAGTGGGGAGGGATATAAGAAGGGCAACATGCAGGGGCCGAGGAGGATTGCCTGAGTTTGTTGAGCCAGTGCCCAGAGGGAGGAAGGCCAGCGACGGTGACAGAACCCCTCTCCTAGCTCATGCATCTGAGGCCCCTGCTGCCCCTACGGACACGCCACCAGCGCGGCTCGGACTCAGGCGACAGTGAGGAGGGGTCCACAGGCTCATGTGACAGTATGATGCATAATAGTAGCAAGTGTTGGCATTTGTAACCATGAATGCAAGTACCCTAAAGCCAACTTTGAATAGATAGCATCATTTTCAATGGATAGGTAGGTCTATAATAATATATGAGATGCTCATCCAAAACTGGGATTTCCTTTCTTCACTTCGTTCTGACTGTGTACTGATAATTTTTCTCAGTAGGAAATTACTTAGATGCACTGTATGCTTTAGGTAGTTTGGTTGTGTGTTAAAAGTAGCTAAATTATTTCCCAAGTGAAGCAGTGTTCTGCACTGAGAATCAGTGATAACAGAAATGTTAGTTTCCTTCTTTTTTCTTTTTGCTCTGGAAATCATGACATTTAGAAGCAGGTTGATTTTCCAGCTCCTGTGTATCTGTTTCTCTTACTGAAAATGCTTTATAATGTTTTGCTATTTGAACCGAAGGCTTTGGGAGGAACAAAGTTGGGTTTCATTAAAATTAGATCCCATCGTTAGTATTATCAGCCTCAGTTGTGTTCACTGCCAGTCTGCCTTTGAATAGTCCTGCAGTTTCAGTTTTAAGCAATAGTTACTGATTTACAGTGCAATCCTAAGAACGTTTTCCTGGGAATAACCCCATTAAATCTGAGTAGGATTCTGAATAGATCTGTTTAGGATGGCGCTGTAAGCGTTCCACCAGCTCTAGCCTAAATCTGCTCCATGATTTTTCCCTTGCTACCTCCCACCTAGAACACTTACTTCTCTTCCTTCAGAGCCCACTTGCTCTGTGAAGCCTTTGCCTTAACCATTTAATTTTCTCTGCAGTTGACATCTTTTGCACGTGTATATCACTTCCATTCCTTCTGTTTTTCTCTCCTCTTGTCAAAATGTTGATTTGTAAAGACCACCCCACCCTGGGACTGTGACCTGTCTCTTTTTGCTTGTGTTACTCTACAAAGCCTGTTTATGCTGATGGCACTACGTATTATTTAGAAAATATAGCAGTGGTTCACCTCAGATTATCCTTTTCTTGCTTTTGTGTGCAAGGGTATGAAATAAAAACAAGGGTGCAGTGGGGAAAAAAGTTTAATTTCAAAATAATAATGACCCCTACGCATTTTGCATTAAGCTTCCTCGGGGATCTGTAGATATAAACACAGTGATGTTCCCACTAAACCAGTTTTTTTCTTCATCATTTTGCTCCAACTGGTGCAGGCCTTTGTTTTCTTCTCATTGATTCCTCTGTTTGTGTGGCCTGCAAGGACTAAATTGCCAGTGTCTGCATATGTTCATGAGCTTTTCCCTGTCTCTAGTTCACCCCTTCTGGCTTCCATCAGTGAAGACTGCTCCGTAGTTGTTCTTGATTCCAGCTTTTCAGAAGTGTGAGTACAAAGTGGTCTAACCTCTTCCTTGCCTCCTTCTTAGGCATGATTAAGACATTAACGCGTATCTGCTTGACTTGGGTAACAGCCCAGTTTAAACAAGCCTCTTTATCAAGGGCAAAGGGCAGCAGGAAAGTGCTTTTGGCTATCTAGCATCACATTTAAATTGACATTTAATTTTCTTAATCAGTCTTTGTTATGTGTCCAATAAATTGGATGATTTCATTTCGACATGTTTCCTGTGGGAGCCATCTAAACTTTTACAAATTCAAAATGACACTCTCCATGATGAATCACTTTTCACATGGGCTCTCCATATCACTGCATAGCCAAATAGCAACAGTGCATTGCTGGAGAAAAAGAGGTAAACTGGAGGGCAGTAGAGGGCTGCCACTGAAGGGCATGGCAAAACAGGCCATGCTGCTCATCCCTCGCTGGTCCCATTTCCAAGTCTGCTGAGATGGGTGAAGAACTGTGGTGAGATGCATGTTTTCTTGCAGCCCCTCATCCAAAACCTTGCTGGTGCACAAGGAAGGACAGAGGGAGGGAACCTGTAGCTGGTTCATTAGACTTCTTATCACTTTGCGGGGACAGCCTGAGTGGTGGATTGTCATCTAAGGTAGTTACTGGGGGGTCACACGGGGGTCACACGGGGAAGGCAGTGTCTGTTCCTCCTCACACATTGACCTCCTCGCTGAGTGATTGCATGATAGTTGGGAAACTGTGGACTGGAATTTACTTTGATGATATTCCAGAAAAGGTCCTGTTAGTCCCTCAACCTAGAGATACAGAGGTCTCATTGTTACAATGATAGCCACCTGAATCAGTAAGCTCCGCCATGCATTAGATGTATTCAGTTTCTAGTAATTCCAAAGAATGAATATTGCTTAGGGAGGGGATTGCTTGTGGTTTGTGACTGTGGCGTTGTGATCCCCAAATAACAGTACATCATTTTGTGCTTTTCTCAGTTTCAGAAACCGCTCCCATCGAGACTTTGTGAAAGGGTTGTCATGGTCACCATCAGACAAAGGCTCCTTAACGACTGTTGGATGGGACCATCAGGTTCTACATCATGTCGTTCCAACACAGAATAGCCATCCTTCTACAAATAATGACATTACTGCATAGTTTTTATATGTTCTTTTTTGAGTCCTTCTCCCTGGAATAGCATTTGTTTTGTTTTGTCATGTCCTAGGGGATGAATGTGGTCTTTGCAGTTTAGAAGAAAGGTCCTGTAACAATTTCATGTTAGATGAGGGCTAGCCTCATACCAGCTGCTCGTTGCGCCAGTCTGGATCTGCCTGTAATAGAGGTTTCATTGTAGGACAGAGGCTCACTTGGCATGTATTTGTCTTTTTTAACTTCACTGTACTTCTCAGAATGTCCAATTAGTAGGAAAAAAATGGGGAAGTAATCCAGCCACAGGAACAGAGATGGTTCAAAGGAAGCCTTGCAAGACTTGGCTGTTGTCAGCATCCATCTTGGTCCCATCTGTGCTAAGGGCATCGCTTTAAATGGTTCAACCTCAAGGATGCAATGCTTTGTAATACACAGCGGCTTCTTGGCAGGGATGGGGATGTACACATCAGACATAAAAAACATGAGCCATATATCATTATAAAGTGTCTTCTGAACAGTCTTTCTAGCACTCCCTAGCCACGATTGTAATGCTAGACTGTAATATGCTATAGAGGAAAAATTCACCAGATTATGTAATTAAGAAAAAAATCCTTGAATGCCCCTGTCATGGTATACTAGATATCTGTGGCCTGGGCGCATAGAATGGTTGAACTTGCTCTATGTACCCAAAAGGTTTTGGGGATTTATATTTCTTGAACTACAGGTCCTCATGCAGCATGGCAAAGCGGCTTTGGAAACTAAGACAAGTAGCAATAGGATTAGGGATCTTCTGTTCAAAGAATTGGGACAGGGAGTGGAAACCTCTGCTGGGTTGAACCCAAACCTTTGTCTGGGTCTTTGAATCCCAGCCCATTGCCGTCTGTGAGACTATGTTTGTACATAAAGCAAGGCTGATTCAGGAAGGACCAGGGGGAAATGGTTCATTTGGCCCACTGTACAGTTACGAGGGAGGATACTTTCTCTTCTTTTGTGTCTTCTGGTTTTTGGTTATGTGATATGAAGAAAAGGGTGCTCTCATCCCTTCTGAGGTATTGAGCAACTGCATCTTGCTCTAGAAATATCTTACAGTCTTCATAGAGTCCTTGAACTCTCGTTACTGCTCAAGGATTCTGCCTCTACCTGCTCTTACAGTATGGGGGCATTTGGACTTAAGATACTATTTTATTTTTAATGTTGCATCCTTGTGAGAGAGAGAGAGAGAGCAAAGCACTCATCTGTAGTAAAATATTGTTTTGAATCTGGTTGTTTCATTTAGACTATAGACCATTTCTAAATTAACATGTGTGAAGTTTTATTTTGGGTGGTAGAAGAGTGTTAGACTGTCCTCTGGATCCCAGAAACCCTTATACAGGACAGTTTGTGAACCAAGCTTGGTGATTTGTGAATCCTTCATGAGGCAGATAGCTGATAGTCACTTCTCCTGCAATATGTGGTCATCAGCTTTTCAAAATAAAAGGAGATCTGGCAGCTTTTATCCTTTTTATAGGTCTCCTGTGGAACTGCTCTGTGAAATCCCAACTTTTTTGGTACCCTGCAGCCCATTTTTTGGGTAGATAGCCTAACTTGTTAATGTTATGTGTTTTATTTTTGTTAAGTTTATTCATGTCACAGTTCCATGGTGGAATGGAATATTTAGAATGGGCACGCTGATGTCAGACATCATGATACTGTCATGAGATGCTTGTATAGAAGAACTTATTGGGGGGGGGTTCTTATGTGATATTTTGAAGCAAAGGAGGACGAACTTTATGCTGATTTGTTGCTGGTAACAAGCACTAATTCAGGACATGTGTGTCACATGAAAGGAACACAGATAACCACAGGAAAAAAAGGGAAGGTAGTGTTTTTTTTTAAATAAACCCCTTTTCATTTTTATACAGGTGTATGCTTAATGTTACTCTTTCACTGACTTGGCCCACATTTCACTGCATCTTAAGGTAAAGGTTCCCTTGCTCGAAAGCCAGTCGAGTCCGACTCTAGGGTTGCGTTGCTCATCTCCGTTTCAAAGCCGAAGAGCCAGCGCTGTCCGAAGACGTTTCCGTGGTCATGTGGCCAGCATGACTAAATGCCAAGGAGCACGGAATGCTGTTACCTTCCCACCGAAGTGGTACCTATTTATCTACTTGCAATGTGGTCCACATTTCACTAAATCTTACTCAATAGTTTATTCATCTTGGCTTGCTTTGAATCTGCATGTAGGTGCCATATGTTTTAGCTTTATAGTGATAGCATTTTAAGTTTCCAGTCACTCAGCTATGTGCAGATGTCTGAAACATGATGGGAGGTGAAGTGGTATTTGCAAAGAAAATCTGATCAGGAATCTGTGGTAAGGTATTAGTGCAGTTTCAGACAACACATGCTTTGATCGATTGCATCACCACACAGCATGATTGGTGAGAAAATGATTAACCCTTTATTCATTTGAAGAACCACTTCTAGACCAGTCATTGTTTCCTTGCAGTAACCTAAAAATAATGATAATTCACTGGCAAGCCTCCAACACCTGATTCTCAGCCCCCAGTTGACCCTGCAGCGTGCTCTTGTCATCTTGTCAAGTTGGCAGGACATGAGTCACCAAGGAGACATCCAGAGCCCCACCTAAGAGATCCCACAGGTATGCTTAAGACTCTTGACAGGCTGATCCCGGCTGCCCATATAAATTTGCTCCCTTGGGTTTCAGTGTCCCTGCCAATAAAGGTGACCTTGAGTTGCCCTGTTGGGTTTTTCAGATGAGTGTGTTTTGTGGCACCTGCCTGCTTTGCTCTAAAGCCTGGCTTAAGCATGTAGCTGGTGAGAAAAAAAAATTCTCCATGCATCTTTGCATTCACACACCATCATATATAAACTGTTTAGCAACCTATCCCATGCCGCTTCTCTGTGCTTAGCAATGCTGTTCAGTAGGCACCCAGTTGGTGTGGTATAGGGGTATACATCTGCTCTTCTGTACAAATTGGAGTATCCATTGAATAAGTGTCTGAACTGGAGCCTTGTTAACTAGATGTCTGGGAGAAAGGCAGGCCTATAATTGTTTATAAAAGATACATATAAACAGTTCTGTGAACACGAAGGATTTCCAGCCTGTGGTCCACAAGCCACATGCAGTCTACCTGACCCTGGGCTTCAGCCTGCCTGATACATTTAGCAAAAAAAATTATTTGAGCTGTTCAAGTTTAATTCAACTGCAGTTATATCATAAAATGGGGGAACGACATTACAAAGAATTACTGACAAGCATCTATCCAAGCTGAAAGTGAACTATGGCTGCGGTCACACGCAACATTAGCCACGCAAGAGATACGGAAGACAGGTGGAGTTTCCGGGCGCGATCTCACCAGCACATCTGGGGAGTGTAGCGCTTCCGTGGCACAACGGAGGCTTCCTCCCGAAAACGCGCAGCAAAAAACTAGTACCTCGGAGGTACTAGTTTCCGGAAAGTGCGGGGCAAGGGCGGGCGTCTGATCGCGTTTCCGGTGGCATCCGGCGCCCGCCCATGTCCCCTTGCGAAGAAGGATTTTTTTCCCCCCAAGTCTCCGTGGTTGTGCACACGCACCCAACCGAGCATGCGCATTCGTAGTGTACACAAAAAAAGAAAACCAGTTCGCCGCGCGCTTCTTCGTTGCACGCAGGCGCGTGTTGTGATCGACGCCTCTCCATAACCACGGAAGCTCCACGGTACCTCCACAGGAGGTTTGATCGCTTTACTGCGTGTTAGTTTGCCCCGGGGCAAACAGCCACGCTTCTCCCCCGCAGTTTCCTGCCCGTGTGACCGGGGCCTATGATCACCAAGAAGACATACGATCCTTGGAGTTTTAGATACAAGCATATGAATCCCAGTATTCTATAATTTCTGGTTATATGGCCATACTCTGGGCATTGGTTTGGTCCACCTGGCTTTGTGAAAGTAACATTCGATTTCATGAAACTGCTGAAATAGAAGCTGAGAGCCACCATAAGTGATGGAAACCTGGAGCCAGATTTGAGGTGTGCCCTGACAGTGCTTCAACTCCACAATTCTCAAGAATACTTCAGTCTATTTAAATATCACTGTTCTCAATGACTTGATCGAAATTGATCAATGATTAATACTAGGCCTGTAACTGCCCTTTTGTATAAATACAATTGATTAAAAGGCGGGTTGGGCTGCTTTTATATTAGTCCTAAAAATCCATATTTTTGACTAGCTAGGAGGCTGTGCTTTACCATGGCCATCAATAAAAATGCATACAGCCAACATACATGGTTTTCTGATCATGTGGCCCTCTTGAAAAAACGTGGAAGCCCTGGTCTTAGCCTCATATGCTGTGTTTTTCTTCATTGTGCCACATGGGGGCAGATGTTGCTTATCTTTGTTATTTGTTCAGATAGAACAGGCATGTCCAACTTCGAACAGGTAGTGATCTGTTTTTTCTGGCCAAAAGTGCCGGTGATCTACCACCATAAAAATGTTTCAAATTAGATTTTAACCCACTGAAGTTGGGTTCCACTCCCCCCCCCATTTATAATGCACCTTCTGTCATTTACTGGTAAGCAAAATAAGCAAAAACAAAACTGAGACGGACATTTTTTACCACCAAACAATCATCAAAAAACCCCAAACACCTGTCCAGCAAACCAGGAGACCAAGTGGGGCTGGTGATCTACCTCTGACCCCTCTGCAATCTACTGGTAGATCGCGATCTACCTGTTGGACATACCTGAGATAGAAGGTTTCGTGGCTGAATACAGGCTTGAGCCTTCGGTATAACCTTTTTGAAAGTAGTGTTATCTAAAGTGGTAGGTACATATTGTGCAGATAGGGTTAATTAAACATGGGTGACTCTTCCATTATATTGAAAACTGCCAGTGAAGAAAATGGAATGCTATATAGAAGAAGAGGTTGGATTTATACCCTGCCCTTCATTCGGAGTCTCAGAGCAACAAACAAACTCCTTTCCCTTCACCTCCCCACAACAGACACCCTGTGAGGTAGTTTTGAAATATTGTGTAGGGACTATTTGATAGAATATCTGTGGCCAAAACTTCCCATGGCTTCTAGGGGGCATGCATTTGGAAATACGCAAGCCAGAAATATTCCCCAAAATTGCTGTTTTGGGTTAGCTTGGGTATACCTAAAGTGACTCAAAACATTCCTGAAATTTTGGGGGTAATAGTAATTAAAGTTTTAGGAGAGTTTTGGGGCAAGGAGACAGAAGCTGTCCTGGCAAACAGCTGTTCTTTCTTGAGGGGAGAAAGATATTCTGATACCCTTGGGTTCCTCTTCTCACAATCTCTGGAGTCAGGAAATCGATTACACTTTCCATCTCTGAGGGGGAGCCCACCCTCAGTCTTTTTCCTGCCTCTGCCTGAGAGAGCAGTGGATTTAGAGGGCTCCTGAGATTTTCCTTTAAGGAGCTCCTTTGGTTGCACTTTGTTTTTCTCTTTTCTTCTGTGTGCCTTTCCCTTTGTTTAAAAAATACTTAGTTCTGGCCTTGTCTTCTCCTAGGCTGTTTGCCTTTTGCCCACTGTGCTGCTTCAATCACAGCAATGTTTGCAGCAGCTGTCTCCGACCATGGACCTCCTCCAAGGGAGAGTTGGGGGAAGTGATCCCCAGGTAGTGGAGTAGAAAATACCTGCAAACCCGCTTGGCCAGCTGTCCCGCTGCCTCAGAATACAAGTTCTCTTCTCCCCCACCCCTCCCTCTCCAGTCAAACGCCTTAAAAAAAAATAGCAACTTCAAGGCCTTTAAACACAGAGAAATACCTGGCTCCTCTTGGCCAACAAAGACTTTCCCTAAGAAGAAAAAAGATGATGATGATGATGATGATGATGATGATGATGATGATGATGATGATGATGATGAAGGAACCTCTGAGGTTTTCTGTAGGGTTCGAGAGCTGGGTTCAACTTTTCCAAAACTGAGATAAAAGAGGAATGGTCAGATCGTACCAATGATCGTTTACATTCTGGACAGACTAAAAGAATGTACTCTTTTCCTCCCAAGGGAATGAGCTTACCGAACGTTCCAGTGATAGAGGCTCCTGTGGCTAGCTTAGCATCAGGGGTGGCTCTTCCAAAAGGGGGAGAGGGTACCCTTAAAGATCCCAATGGTCGAAAAAGTGACTCAGCTCTGTAGAACTCATGAGGCCATTGCCTTCTCTGATGACAAGAGCCTCATGTAGCTTCATAAATTGTCCCAAGATTAGCTGGATTTAAATCAGCACCTGTCAAGTTACACACACAATCTGGAGAGGCCAGCAGCTTTCATGTCTGATGCTACTCTGGACACGATCAAGTTCTCAGCAAGGGCCATGGCTTTCACAGTGGTAGCTATCTCTGGCTCAAGTCCTGGAATGTGGACTCCCTTTCTAAGTCTCATGTGGCATCTTGGCCTTTCCTGGATAGCAAGCTCTTTGGGATAGCGTAGAGGTCATCTTAACTGAGACCAAGGACAAAAAGAAGGTCATGCAATTCACCTATAAAAGGGAGGACAGACAGCAGAGAAATTATAGTTCACAGTCCTTTCGTTCTTACAGAATGCTTGTGGACCAAATCCAAGCCTAACTTCAGAGCCACAAGTCAATTCTACAGTTCAGCCCAAGCAGCAGCCTCCAGTAAGGGAGGAAAACAGCGGCAACAAGTGACGCCAGGCTAGCTCCGGTGGAGGGATGGCTTCAAAAATCCGATCAAGCCTGGAATCTAGTAGCCACTGGCAAATGGGTAAAAGAAGCCATAACCCATGGCTATTCAATAGAATGTGACACCCCACCTCATGACAGATTCCTGAGCTCACCAGTCCCTCATTGCCCCATCAAGACATACCGCACACAGGGTGCCATTAGACATCTGCTGGAGATTGCTGCCATTGAACCTGTGCCATCATCGCAAAGGTTCTTTGGCATCTTTTTTTCCCCCAAAAGTTCCCAAAATTCCT